TCAACACTCAAATGTAAAACACATCCACATCAGGCATCACTTTCTAAAAGATAATGTGGAGCAAGGGAATATAAAGAATTTTGTCAAACTGAAAATCAAATTGCAGATATTCTATCTAAGCCCTTGAACAGAGAAAGATTTGAGAAATTGAGACTGGAACTTAGGATGATCAAGCTGAAGTACTAGCCTCTGAAGTTCCAAGATATGGCAAAGTGAAAAATAATGTAAATAAAGCAAAAAGAGCTTCTACCGCAACCTTGGTGTGATAAACATAGCTAAAGTGTCACCGTTGTTAACTACCAAAGGTAAGTTCATTAAATTGCTCAACGGTATAGGTTATTAAATTTGTACATTGCACATATGTAAAAAGCGTGTTCTAATTGTGTTTTTTAGAAACTTCGTTTAAATTTAATTGAATTTGGAAAGTTAAGTTTTTGAAAGAATCATCCAGTAATTTGAAATTTGAAAAATTAATTGAATTTGTTCAATAAATGACTGAACAGTGAAACTTCCTAAATTCCCTCACACCGCTTCATTTATTATAAAAGCTGATTTCACCCACTTCTTTCACCTCACTGTCAAATCAAATTAAACCCTTCCCGGTAAAAACTTTTTCAACCTTGTATAAAAACCTTTCCTAAAGCATCAATGGTGTTCATTGATGAATTTATTTCCTCAGAAGAATCACAACACTTTTAAAACACAATTCAAGAAGAAACTTCTCCCTTAGCCATGGTAAACTACAAATCATCTTCTATCTCAAACAAAACTCCCGAAAACCCTAGGAAATCTCCTCCGAAACCAAAAGAAGTTGAAAGTAAAAGCGATCAAGGGGATTCCTCTGTTTCAAGCATTCTTCAACGACTAAAAGAGTGGAAAGGAAATAAACAAAGTGAAAAGTCTCTTGAAGAGCAAAATTGAGGAAGTTGACGAGTTTGCTCAAGGGAAAAACTCAGACGAGACAATAGAGTAGAACAAAGTAGAAGAAGAGATGAGTGAGGGAGAAGAAGAAGATAAAGAGGAGGAGAATAATTCAGAAAAGGAAGAATCTGAAAAGGAAGATGAAGAAGAGGAAGTGACTGATCAAGCGGAACTTGAGTCACAAGCTGGAAGGTATGTTGTTGGTCATCGCATTGATGTTCTTTTGTGTAGAAAAGCAAGATTTCTAGAATTTCTTGATTTAATTAAGTTTCAAGGTTGGGAATTTCTGTTGTCAAGAGTGTCAGCAAACTATATGTGTCCTGTAGCTATGAATGAATTTTGCAAAAATTTTCAAGCAAAATTAGGAGTAATCTCAAGTGTAGTTAATGGGGTAAAAATCGAATTTAACATTGAAACCCTAGGTAAAATTCTGAAAACTCCTACTGAGGGGTATGACACTTATATTAAGGGAAAGGGAAGTGTCAATGTAGGTATCTATTTGACTGGTGATATTGTTGAGGCCTTAGGTGGTCAGAGAGGGAAGAAGATCATGAGTCATAATGATCTTAGTCCCTTAAACAAGCTGTTGTTTAATTTGGTAAAGAAGACTATTCTGCCTAGGACTGCTAAAAAGGGGGAAGCATGCTTGATGGATATGGCAGTAATTTTCTGTATTTCAAAGAAGATTAAGGTCAATTTTCCTTCTTTAATGTACATGCACTTAGCACACTGTGTTCCCAGTAGGACAAAAGTGGGGCATGGAGCCATTTTGTCCACTGTATTTGAGAATGCTGGAGTAGTTTAAAAGAGTAAATATGGGGCTTTGGATGAAAAACCAGAAAATGTGATTAATGAGGAAACCCTAGCTGGGTTAAGTTTGGAAGTGGTGCAAGGAAAAATTAAGAAAATAGAAAAGGGAGAGAAAAAGAAAGAGAAAGTGACAGGGAAGAGGAAGGAAAATGTTGTATCAGAGCAGCCTATGAGAAAGAGCAGGAGGATTTCTGCCAGTGCTGTTCCTCAAACCAGTATAGAACAGCCATTGGAGTTGGATGCTGGAGTTGGATGTTAAAGAAGATATCCTCAATGGGCATGTTGCTGAGTTAGTGGATAGAATAGAACGGATTGAAAGTCAAATGAAGGATTCTGCTGGAAAGCTTCAGGTGCTGACCCTGGAAAAGTTGGTACATGAGCAAGGGAAGGAGTTAAAGGAACTTAGGAAGATGGTGCTAAAACAAAACAAGGAACTTCAAGAGCAAAAGGAGTTTCAAGAGCAAGAACTGAACAAGGCTCTACAGGAACAGAAGAAGGAGTTCCTGGTGAAACTCAAAGGTGTTGAAGAAAATTTGGAGGCCTCTACATAAAAGACAAAGGAGGACTTCAAGAAAATTCTGGAGTTCCTTGAAACCTAACCTGCCCTATTTCATATTCAGCCTAGTCCATTTTCTCTGTTTTAGTCATGAACAATTTTAATTTCTGTTTTTAGTATATGAACAATTAATTTTGTTTGTAAATTTTCTAATTTGTTCAACTGGATGATAAATCTTTTTGGTCTTTAATGAAATGTTGGAACTCTGCTTATACTTCTGTGTTTATGTGTATTTTGAACACTTATGCTGAAGGGTAGAACTTACTTGAGGTTGTTTAGCAGCGCTGCCTTTAGTTTCCCACACTCGATGAATTGCTTGTGGGGCTGTGGGTAGATGCTTAATACACTTGAAAAAGCAGGACTTTTTGATAATGCCAAAAGGGGGAAAAGAAGAAGCAAACATGGATGCTGAAGTTCTGGGTTCCAGTTGATAAACTATTAGAACTTTCTTCTGATATGATGCTGATAGATTATTAGTTTAATTTCTGTCTTAGTTATTTTTGTCTATTTGCTTTTAGTTTCTGTTTTTTCAATTCCGTTGTGTGTTTACTTTTTGTTTATAAATCAAAAATACAAAAATACGTCCTTCTATTTTGTTTTAACTTTCTCAAGAGTTTGCTTAAGTTTGTCATCATCAAAAAGGGGGAAATTGTTGATGTTTAAAGGTTTTGATGATGAGGAACTTAAACTACAACAAACTCATTTAATAAAGGTTTTTCAAGTCTTTGTTTAGTTTAGGTGAAATTGATATTGGAGATGAAAGAAGTAACTGAAACTAAGAAGACTTGAAGAAGTTCTTTATTTAAGAAGGTTATTCGAAACAGAAGAAGTGTTCCCTCACAGGAACTGAGTTCCCTAATAGGAACATTCCTTTACAAGAACTTGAAGATGGCTAGTTAAGATCTTTGGAGGAACTTAGTAAGCGTGGAGCCCAAGTAAACCTACCAGTACAGGAGCGCGGCGCAGCAATGTTTTAGTTAAGATTTTATCTTCTAGATTCACTGTTAAATATGTTAAGTAGGATATGCATGAAGTCTATTAGAAGCGTGACAAGTTAGCTTGGCAAATAAATTAAAATCGGAAAAGATAAAAGATAGAATTCGAAAAAGATTTTCTTTAATTGTTTATTTCTTAAAATCAGTTTGGTAAAAAGATATTATGCTTATTAACTCAATCTTTCTATCTTATTTTTCGGAAAATATTTTCTTCTAATGATTTAAATAAAAACCGTGTATAAAGATAAGTTAAGTTTAACTTATTTATCTTGAAGAAAACCTACTTGCTATACAAGTAATATTTGTATAAATAGTAGAGAAAAAAAGGAGTTTAGGTTTTTTGTGAGTTTTTTGCGTGAAGAATATACAGAGCTTTAATTGTGTAAATTTTCCAAGCTTATCATCTTGTCATATTAGTTTCGGGTTTCATGCATAGCTTGCCTAACATATACTAGGTGTCTTTACTTGTAATTGGTTTGGGTTATTTGGGTGAGAGTGTTTTTGTTATCATTGCATACAGAGAGAGCTTCTGTTGAGAAGTTGAGAAGATCTGTGCTTAGGGAGTACGAGAGAGAGTCTGAGTGTGGGACTTAGACTGGGTAGAATAGAATCCTATTCTGTAACAAGTTCGTTCAGGAACTTGTGAGTAGAGGTTTGATTAGAATAGGTTGTAACTTGGTGTTTTCCCTATTATAGTGAAATTGTTTGTGTTTGAAATCCCTAAGGTAGGGTCGAGGTTTTACTTCTAGTTGGGCACTAGAAGGTTTCCTCGTAAAATCCTGTGTGCATTGCATGTTCGTATTTTATTCTGTTTTATATTTGAAAAAGTATTCACTAGAAACTCACCTACAATTCACCCCCTCTTGTAGTATTCGTCTCATCTAACAATTGGTATCAGAGCAAGGTTCTCACTTGCAAGCAGATAACTTTGCTGAGTAAGTTCCTGGAGAGATGAATTACAAGGGGAAACTTGAAGAAGGGTACTCAACCCAACTTCCACCAATGTTCAATGGTAAGTTCTATGCCTACTGGAAGAATAGGATGGAGATTTTCATCAAGGCTGAAAATTACCAGGTTTGGCGTGTTATTGAAACTGGTGATTTTGAAATAACTGCAACCAATGAAAAACATGAGGTAGTTTCTAAATCTATTTCTGATTTTGACAAAGAAGATTATCAGAAACTTGAATTGAATGCTTTAGAAACAAAGTATTTGCACTGTGAACTTGGACCTCATGAACATAACCGTATTATGGGATGCAAGTCTGCCAAACAGATTTGGGATTTGCTACAGGTAACTCATGAAGGTACTAACGAGGTAAAACGTTCTAAAATAGATTTATTGATGTCTAGGTATGAAAGGTTTGTAATGCAATCTAAAGAAACCATAGAAGAGATGTTTACCAGATTCAATTATATTATTAATGAACTGAACTCCCTTGGTAGACATATTCCTATTGATGAACAGGCAAGGAAGATCCTAAGAATTCTACCACAAGATGAACGCTGGAGATCCAAGGTTACTGCTATGCAGGAAGCTAAGGATTTCACCAAGTTTAATATGGAACAACTAGCTGGATCATTGATGACACATGAACTTCATCCGAGTTCCAATACTGAAAGTTCCAGAAGTAAAAGCCTTAAACTTAAGGCTCAAGATTCAGAAGAATCGGAAGTGATGAGGAAGAGATGGCTATGCTAGTGAGGAAATTTAAAAAGATGATGAATAATAAGAAGTTCGACAGGAACAAGAAGTTCACAAGTTCCAGAAACACAACGTGCTTCAGGTGTGGGTCAAAAGATCACTTCATTAAGGATTGCCCTGTACAGGATGGAGAGAAAGGAAAGACAAAAGGCAAAGAGCAATCCAAAGAGTCAAAAGTCTATAAGCCTTACTTCACCAAGGACAATGTGAAGAAAGCCATGCTAGCTGCTTGGGGAGATACAGATTCAGAAGAAGAGGAGGACCAACCATTAGAAGAAACTGCTCATTTATGTTTAATGGAAAAAACTTATGAAGCTGCCAAACTAAAGGGGCTTGAGTCTGAGGTATGGTTCTCTTACAATCAGTTAAAACATTTGTCTAAAGAAAATCTAATAAATACTGTTTTGGAAATTCAAGAAGATTTAAAGGAATTACATAGATCCAAACAACAAAGTGATAAAGCTTTAGTTACTTACAAAGAGGACAGTGAATGGGTTGATAACATGAAGTTTACATTCAATACAGGTTCTTTAGCTATTTGATGATAATAAAAATTTAAAAGAGACTATAGAGAATTTGAAACAAGATAACATACTCCTAAATGTGGAATTGTCTTTGTTAAAACGTAGTGTCGATACTCCTAACTCTGAAGTTCCTCCACCTACTGATTATCCGAATTTTGAAAAATTAAAACATGATTTGGAAGATTTAAAAACGGATAAGGCACGTCTTGAGGGGGAACTTGAGAGAGCTAGGAAAGGTAAGCAACCAATAGAGTATAGAGTTCCTGATTGGATTACTAAGCTCAAACCAAGAATACTGAAGGTTTAGGTTTTAAAAACAAGTTCCAGAAAGAAAAGAAGTATGTCGACTTGCCTAGTAGCATGGTTGTTATTTCTGTGGCAATACAAGACATAAGCAGGTTAAGTGTCCTATGAAAAAACAAAGCACACAGAAGAATGTCAAACATGTAGAACAAATCTGGATAAAAAAAAAAGAATCAACTCCTGTTACACAGGAACCCAAGGAAACCTGGGTTCCTGACTCTAACGTTTAATTCTTCTTGCAGGTTCCAGTGAGGGGGAAAAACACTTGGTACCTCGACAGTGGTTGTTCTAAGCACATGACTGGAGATAAATATAGATTTATCTCACTGGATGCCTACTATGGTGGAACAGTGACCTTTGGTGATAATATGAAAGGTGATATAAATGCTATTTGAAAGATAGGAAGGTCACGTTCTCATGCCATTGATAATGTATTTTTAGTCGAGGGCCTCAAACACAATTTGTTAAGTATTTCACAGTTTTGTGACAAAGGTAATTCTGTTAGCTTTACTTCTAATAAGTGTAGAATCATCCACAATGACACTGGGAACATTATTTTGGAAGGAACTCGTAAAGGGAACACATATATTGTGGATCTTAATGAGGTTCCTAACAGCAGTTTAACATGTCTTAGTGTTATTGAGGATGATCCTCTTTTATGGCAAAGAAGGTTTGGCCATGCAAGCTTTTCTTTACTTGATAAAATAAGATCTAAGAACTTAGTGGAGGGACTTCCTTACATTAAGTTCTAGTATGACAAAGTGAGTGAAGCTTGTGCTAGAGGAAAACAAACCTGAATTTCCTTCAAGTCCAAAAAGATGGTAAGTACCAAAAGACCTTTGGAACTCATTCATATGGATCTCTGTGGTCCAATGAGAATCCAAAGTAGAAGTGGTAAGAAATATGTAATGGTTATTGTCGATGATTTTTCAAGGTTCACTTGGGTTTTCTTTCTTGTAAGTAAGGATGAAACGTTTGATGAGTTTGTTGCTTTTGTAAAGAAAGAAAAGAAAAGAACAGGCAATCAATTGATACATCTTAGATAAGATCATGGAACAGAATTCGAGAATTCAAAATTTGATGAATTTTATACTGAGTATGGTGTGGATCACAGCTTCTCTGCCCCAAGAACTCCACAACAAAATAAAGTGGTGGAACGCAAGAATAGGAGCCTTGAAGACAAGGCAAGGACAATGCTGATATCAAGCAGGCTGCCTAGGAACTTCTAGGCTGAAGCAGTAAACACAACATGTTATATACTTAACAGAGTATATGTTAGGGCCATCACCAATAAAACTCCCTATGAACTTATGAAAGGGAGAAAGCCTAATATTTCCTACTTTAGATCCTTTGGATGCAAATGCTTTGTTCACAATAATGGTTAAAGGAACTTGGGTAAATTTGATGAACGTAGTGATGAGGCAGTATTCCTAGGATATGCCTCGAATAGTAAAGCTTACAGAGTCTATAAAAAAAAGGACTATGTGTGTTGAGGAGTCTGTACATATTATATTTGATGAAACTGAACATTTGGTTGATGTACAGGATTATGATGATGATTTCGAAATTGGACTTGTGCGTAAGCATAATCCATATGAGGAACCAGCATCACAGCATAAGCAGAAATTTGAAATTGCTAAAGTAACGAATCCTGAAGCAAATGCTGAACCCGAGACGGAGAATGCACCAGGAACTCCACTTTAAGAACAGACTGATGTCCATAATGAAGACCAGAATGTGGAAACACCTGAAGAAGTTCAAACTGAGTTTCATGAACATGTTCTTACAGAAGAACCAGTCAACAATAATGAAGAAAAATTGTATCCAATCAAGGATTTCACTCCAAGGCCCTGGAAATATAAAAAATCACATCCAGTTGATGTAATCATGAATGATATCACAAAAGGAACTCAAACCAGATCTCAGCTTAGGAACTTCTGTGCATTCAATGCATTCCTTTCCTCCATGGAACCTAAGAATTATGTTGAAGCTTTAACTGAAGCTGACTGGATTAATGCTATGCAGGCTGAATTAAATGAATTTGAAAGAAATAAAGTTTGGCATCTGGAACCTAGACCAAAAGATAAGAAGTCTATTGGACTAAAATGGGTATTCAGAAACAAACTAGATGAACATGGTATTATTGTCAGGAATGTACTATGAAGAGACATTTGCTCAAGTAGCCAGGTTAGAGGCTATTCGTTTACTTATTGCCTTTGCTGCTTATATGGGATTTAGGCTGTACCAGATGGATGTTAAATGTGCTTTCTCAAATGGATATTTAAATGAGGAAGCCTATGTGGAACAGCCTTCTGGGTTTGAAAATCCAGAGTTCCCAAACCATGTCTATAAGCTTGACAAAGCTCTTTATGGATTAAAACAAGCTCCTAGAGCATGGTATGAAATATTATCTAAGTTCCTTTTGGCTAATGGTTTTAAAGGTGGTAAAATTGATAAAATTTTGTTTTTAAAGTCAAATGGAACTGATATCTTAGTTGTACAAATTTATGTTGATGATATTTTATTTAGTGCAACTAACGAATCTCTATGCAAGTATTTTGCTGACCTTATGAGTGGAGAATTTGAAATGAGCATGACTGGAGAATTAAATTTCTTCCTTGGTTTGCAAATCAAGCAAACTGAAGAGGGAATTATGATTCATCAGCAAAAATATATTAAGGAACTGATCAAGAAATAGAAGTTGGAAAATGCCAAAACCAATAATACTCCCATGGGAATTGCTTCTAGATTAGATGAAGACCCATCTGGAACTTGCATTGATCAATCTATGTATTGAGGTATGATAGGCTCACAACTCTACTTAACAGCTAGTAGACCTGACATATCTTTTAGTGTAGGTCTGTGTGCCAGGTTCCAAGCAAATCTAAAGGAGTCTCACCTGACAGTAGTAAAAAGAATTCTAAGATACTTGAAAGGAACTGATGATTTGAGTCTCTTCTATCCCAGAAGTGATTCTTTTGATTTAAATAGTTTTACTGATGCTGACTATGCAGGTGATTTGATTAATAGAAAAAGCACTTCAGGTATGGTACAATTTTTAGGTCCCTATTAAGTTTCTTGGGGTTCCAAGAAGCAAAACACAGTTGCTTTATCTACTGCAAAAGCTGAATATGTGGCAGCGGCAGCATGTTGCTCACAAGTTCTATGGATAAAACAACAGGTCAGAGATTTTGGTATTATTTTTGAATGTGTACCTATTTACTGTGATAATACTAGTGCTATATGTATTTCTAAGGATCCAATTCAACACTCAAAGGTAAAACACATCCACATCAGGCATCACTTTCTATAAGATAATATAAAGAATTTTGTCAAACTGAAAATCAAATTGTAGATATTCTATCTAAGCCCTTGAACAGAGAAAGATTTGAGAAATTGAGACTGGAACTTAGGATGATCAAGCTGAAGTACTAGCCTCTGAAGTTCCAAGATATGGCAAAGTGAAAAATAATGTAAATAAAGCAAAAAGAGCTTCTACCGCAACCTTGGTGTGATAAACATAGCTAAAGTGTCACCGTTGTTAACTACCAAAGGTAAGTTCATTAAATTGCTCAACGGTATAGGTTATTAAATTTGTACATTACACATATGTAAAAAGCGTGTTCTAATTGTGTTTTGTAGAAACTTCGTTTAAAATTAATTGAATTTGGAAAGTTATGTTTTTGAAAGAATCATCCAGTAATTTGAATTAATTGAATTTGTTCAATTAATGACTGAACAGTGAAACTTCCTAAATTCCCTCACACCGCTTCATTTATTATAAAAGCTGATTTCACCCACTTCTTTCACCTCACTGTCAAATCAAATTAAACCCTTCCCAGTAAAAACTTTTTCAACCTTGTATAAAAACCTTTCCTAAAGCATCAATGGTGATCATTGCTGAATTTATTTCCTCAGAAGAATCACAACACTCTTAAAATACAATTCAAGAAGAAACTTCTCCCTTAGCCATGGTAAACTACAAATCATCTTCTATCTCAAACAAAACTCCCGAAAACCCTAGGAAATCTCCTCCGAAACCAAAAGAAGTTGAAACTATAAGCGATCAAGGGGATTCGTCTGTTTCAAGCATTATTCAACGACTAAAAGAGTGGAAAGAAAAGAAACAAAGTGAAAAGTCTCTTGAAGAGAAAATTGAGGAAGTTGACGAGTTTGCTCAAGGGAAAAACTCAAACGAGACAACAGAGTAGAACAAAGTAGAAGAAGAGATGAGTGAGGGAGAAGAAGAAGATAAAGAGGAGGAGAACAATTCAGAAAAGGAAGAATCTAAAAAGGAAGATGAAGAAGAGGAAGTGACTGATCAAGCGGAACTTGAGTCACAGGCTGGAAGGTATGTTGTTGGTCATCGCATTGATGTTGTTTTGTGTAGAAAAGCAAGATTTCTAGAATTTCTTGATTTAATTAAGTTTCAAGGTTGGGAATTTCTGTTGTCAAAAGTGTCAGCAAACTATATGTACCCTGTAGCTATGAATGAATTTTGCCAAAATTTTCAAGCAAAATTAGGAGTAATCTCAAGTGTAGTTAATGGGGTAAAAATCGAATTTAACATTGAAACCCTAGGTAAAATTCTGAAAACTCCTACTGAGGGGTATGACACTTATATTAAGGGAAAGGGAAGTGTCAATGTAGGTAGCTATTTGACTGGTGATATTGTTGAGGCCTTAGGTGGTCAGAGAGGGAAGAAGATCATGAGTCATAATGATCTTAGTCCCTTAAACAAGCTGTTGTTTAATTTGGTAAAGAAGACTATTCTTCCTAGGACTGCTAAAAAGGGGGAAGCATGCTTGATGGATATGGCAGTAATTTTCTGTATTTCAAAGAAGATTAAGGTCAATTTTCCTTCTTTAATGTACCAGCACTTAGCACACTATGTTCCCAGTAGGACAAAAGTGGGGTATGGAGCCATTTTGTCCACTGTATTTTAGAATGCTGGAGTAGTTTTGAAGAGTAAATATGGGGATTTGGATGAAAAACCAGAAAATGTGATTAATGAGGAAACCCTGGCTGGGTTAAGTTTGGAAGTGGTGCAAGGAAAAATTAAGAAAATAGAGAAGGGAGAGAAAAAGAAAGAGAAAGTGACAGGGAAGAGGAAGAGGAAGGAAAATGTTGTATCAGAGCAGCCTGTGAGAAAGAGCAGGAGGATTTCTGCCAGTGCTGTTCCTCAAACCAGTATGGAACAGCCACTGGAGTTGGATGATGGAGTTGGTTGTTGAGGAAGATATCCTCAATGGGCAAGTTGCTGAGTTAGTTGATAGAATGGAACGGGTTGAAAGTCAAATGCAGGATTCTGCAGGAAAGCTTCAGGTGCTGACCCTGGAAAAGTTGGTACAGGAGCAGGGGAAGGAGTTAAAGGAACTTAGGAAGATGGTGCTAAAACAAAACAAGGAACTTCAAGAGAAAAAGGAGTTTCAAGAGCTAAGAACTGAACAAGGCTCTACAGGAACAGAAGGAGGAGTTCCAGGTGAAACTCAAGGGTGTTGAAGAAAATTTGGAGGCCTTTTCACAACAGACAAAGGAGGACTTCAAGAAAATTCTGGAGTTCCTTGAAACCTAACCTGCCCTATTTCATATTCAGCCTAGCCTATTTTCTCTGTTTCAGTCATGAACAATTTTAATTTCTGTTTTTAGTATTTGAACAATTAATTTTGTTTGTAAATTTTCTAAATTGTTCAACTAGATGATAAATCTTTTTGGTCTTTAATGAAATGTTGGAACTCTGCTTATACTTCTGTGTTTATGTGTATTTTGAACACTTATGCTGAAGGGTAGAACTTACTTGAGGTTATTTAGCAGCGCTGCCTTTAGTTTCCTACACTCGATGAATTGCTTGTGGGGATGTGGGTAGATGCTTAATACACTTGAAAAAGCAGGACTTTTTGATAATGCCAAAAGGGGGAAAAGAAGAAGCAAACATGGATGCTGGAGTTCTGGGTTCCAATTGATAAAGTATCATAACTTTCTTCTGATATGATGCTGATAGATTATTAGTTTAATTTCTGTCTTAGTTATTTTTGTCTATTTGCTTTTAGTTTCTGTTTTTTAATTCAGTTGTGTGTTTACTTTTTGTTTATAAATCAAAAATACAAAAATACGTCCTTCTATTTTGTTTTAACTTTCTCAAGAGTTTGCTTAAGTTTGTCATCATCAAAAAGGGGGAAATTGTTGATGTTTAAAGGTTTTGATGATGAGGAACTTAAACTACAGCAAACTCATTTAATAAAGATTTTTCAAGTGTTTGTTTAGTTTAGGTGAAATTGATATTGGAGATGAAAGAAGTAACTGAAACTAAGAAGACTTGAAGAAGTTCTTTATTCAAGAAGGTTATTTGAAACAGAAGAAGTGTTCCCTCACAGGAACTGAGTTCCCTAATAGGAACATTCCTTTACAAGAACTTGAAGATGGCTAGCTAAGAACTTTGGAGGAACTTAGTAAGCGTGGAGCCCAAGTAAACCTACCAGTACAGGAGCGCGGCGCAGCAATGTTTTAGTAAAGATTTTATCTTCTAGATTTATTGTTAAATATGTTAAGTAGGATATGCATGAAGTCTGTTAGAAGCGTGACAAGTTATCTTGGCAAATAAATTAAAATCGGAAAAGATAAAAGATAGAATTCGAAAAAGATTTTCTTTAAATGTTTATTTCTTAAAATAGTTTGTTAAAAAGATATTATGCTTTTTAACTCAATCTTTCTATCTTATTTTTCGGAAAAAGATTTTCTTCTAATGATTTACATAAAAACCGTGTATAAAGATAAGTTAAGTTTAACTTATTTATCTTTAAGAAAACCTACTTGCTATACAAGTAATATTTGTATAAATAGTAGAGAAAAAAAGGAGTTTAGGTTTTTTGTGAGTTTTATGCGTGAAGAATATACAAAGCTTTAATTGTGTAAATTTACCAAGCTTATCATCTTGTCATATTAGTTTCGGGTTTCATGCATAGCTTGCCTAACATATACTAGGTGTCTTTACTTGTAATTGGTTTGGGTTATTTGGGTGAGAGTGTTTTTGTTATCATTGCATACAGAGAGAGCTTCTGTTGAGAAGTTGAGAAGATCTGTGCTTAGGGAGTACGAGAGAGAGTCTGAGTGTGGGACTTAGACTGGGTAGAATAGAATCCTATTCTGTAACAAGTTCGTTCAGGAACTTTTGAGTAGAGGTTTGATTAGAATAGGTTGTAACTTGGTGTTTGCCCTATTATAGTGAAATTTTTTGTGTTCGAAATCCCTAAGGTAGGGTCGAGGTTTTACTTCTAGTTGGGCACTAGAAGGTTTCCTCGTAAAATCCTGTGTGCATTGCAAGTTCCTATTTTATTCTGTTTTATATTTGAAAAAGTAGTCACTAGGAACTCACCTACAATTCACCCCCCCTCTTGTAGTGTTCGTCTCAACTAACATTCTTGCTTAAGGTTATGCCACGTGACATGGGTAGGTGCCCTCTCCTGGCTCCTTCCATTTGGAATCGAGCTAGTACCTTATCGATGTAAGTACTTTGACTCATTCCTATCATCCTCTTTGATCTATCCCTATAGATATTGATGCCTAGTATGTACTGAGCCTCTCCCAAGTTTTTCATTGAAAAACATTTCCCAAGCCAAGCCTTTACAGAATCTAACAACGGAATTCTATTTCCAATGACAAAAATGTCATCAACATATAAGACTAAGAAGGCGATGTCACTCCCACTTACCTTCATGTAAACACAAGAGTCATCTGGATTCTTGATAAAACCAAACTTACTGATGGCTTCATCAAATCGCAGATTCCAACTTCTGCTTGCTTGCTTTAATCCATAAATGGACTTCTTAAGCTTGCATACCTTCTTAGGATTATTCTGGTCGATAAAACCTTTAGGCTGTGTCATGTACACAGTTTCTTCCAAAATTCCATTGAGGAAGGCGGTTTTGACGTCCATCTGCCATATTTCATAATTGTAATATGCAGCAATCGCTAGAAGAATTTGAACGGACTTAAGCATAGCTACTGGAGAAAAGGTTTCA